TTTTTTTTTTTTTTTTTTTTTTTTTTTTTTTTTTTTTTTTTTTTTTTTTTGTGTTTGTGTGTGTTTGTGTTTCTGTTATTGCTTTTTGTTTGTGTTTGTGTGTGTGTGTTTGTGTTTTTGCGTTTGTTTTTTTTGTGTGTTCGTGTGTGTGTGTGTGGGTGTGTGTGTGTGTGTGTGTTTGTGCGTGTTTGTGTGTGTGTGTGTGTGTGAGTGTGTGTGTGTGTGTGTGAGTGTGAGTGTGTGTGTGTGTGTGTGTGTGCGGGGGCGGGGGCGGGTGTGGGTGCGGGTGGGCGTGGCTGCGGGTGCGGGTGCGCGTGCGCGTGTGGGTGCGTGTGTGGGTGCGCGTGTGGGTGCGCGTGCGCGTGTGGGGGCACGTGTGGGTGCGGGATGGTGCGGGTGCGTGTGCGCGTGGAGCTTGGGAGCGTGGGAGCGTGGGAGCGTGTGAGCGTGTGAGCATGTGAGCGTGTGAGCGTGGCGTTCTTTGATAGTTTCGTTCCAGGAGCCTGTTGTTGACAACTTTCCAGTGATTCCACCTCCCAGCAGAAGCACTCTGAGTCGGCGAAGTCGAGTGAGCTGAAGCACCAGCTTGCTAGCAGCGGCGATCCGCCGCTCGAGGTTTCACAGCTTTCCGGGCGCGTTTGGTAGTGGATGTTGCCAAAGGGGGCTTGCCGTCACAAAGATCCAGAGATTTGTGCAACTCAGAGATTCCAGAGATCAGGTTTGTTGCGCGCATGAGACCGACGATTGCGCTTGACGGAGCATCGTTCCCCAGTTCACATCCGCAGTCGACGGCTTCAATTGCCAACCTTTTGTTCAGCTGCGCAGAAGGTAGGCCAGCTGCTTCGTAGGGTCGCCCATGGACCGTCAAGCGTGTGCAGAGCCTGTGCGGCGCTTGCTGGCGCTGTCGACGTTTCGACGGCATCGGGAGACACGGTCCAGCAGGCTCGGACAAGTTTGCTGATTTTGCTGAGACGTCATGGGCTTGGCAGTTCTGGGTTGGCTTTCTCGTTGTTCATAGTTAAACCACTGATAGAAAGAGCCTCGGCAGAGCCGAATTGCTTTGGGTGACCATCAGGTTCCTAAACAATGGCAAGGCAGCCGATCTTGCCAAACTGACGCATCATGCAAGCGCCACCCCTGATCTTCCCCTGCAGGCCCTCCAAACCCCCCTCGAAGTTGCAGTCGTCGTTGGAGGCTTTTACTTTTACTGTTGAATCCGTTTGCAGTCAGGGTTGGAAGTCCAAGGTGACCCCATCTGTGAGCCTGCCAACGGTGCCCCATCCTGCTGAGTTTTCGTCTGGGCGCAGGTGTAGTTCAAACCCTGACGTACTGCACCCTTTGAAACCCTGAACCCTAAGGGCCCTATGTCGCCCCCAAGTGTTACGCTGCAGTGTGGCTAGTCTGCTTGGCCGGTGGCAAGAATAAGAAGGCCCGAAAGCCCCATAAAGATGCACAGTAGACCGGCAAGTGGATAAGCACTGAAACTCCCTAGACCAAACTTGGACAAGGCAAGCAGCTTCCGACAGACCCTATATCCGTTTTGGAGAGGCCTCTCCCTATTGTACCCCATGCCGGTCCTTTACACAACTTACCTGGCGAGTGTTGGGCAGAGATCCAGCAGCTCGCCACCGCACTTTGAGGCATGTAATGCATTAGGAGGCTCCGATGCAGTCATCTCGAGAGGCAACTAGCTTGTGAGCTGTTGCCACCGGAAGCAGGAACCTGATGGGCTCATCAATTTCGGTGGGAGGACAGCTGTTGCACGTTCGTGTTTCTGAGTGTTTTGCTTGCCACGCGAGCATTCGAAATCGAGATGATGGGCACATGGAAGTCTTGTTGATGCTGCATTTCGGACACAGTATTCCAGGCAAGTTCAGCAGAAGCGGCGTTTTCCCCAACGACCGTATGAGTTTCTAAATACAACTGATTCGGAAGAGATGTCTGTAAACATTCTTGTGCAAGTTGAAACATGGATGAAGGCCACTGAGAGCAGATTGCAGTTCTACGTTTTCCTCTGACCTGCAAGAGCAGTAAGCACAGTCCAAAGCCCGGCGAGCAAGCAAAGGATATGTCCGTCTGCGTTAAGATCAAGGGACATGAGCTGCAGCCCGTCATCATCGGTGGTTTCTTCTTCCAAGCTGTGGAAAAAGCGGAGTGTGATCATCACCTAGAAGGCTTTAACCCAAACACACCAGGCCCTAAGTTCCAGGAAAGTTCCAAGGGCATCGTTTTTGGCCTAGCGTTGCCACGGCTTTCGTTTGGGTGTGGTGGCTGCTGCATTTTGCTTTTTGGTGAGATGCTCGTTGTTGGGAAGATAGAACGCATTGAAGTGGCCAGACACTTGTAGTAGACTTGTTAAGATATGGGGCAACGTATATCTGTCTGGCCCGAAGCCGAGAGAATTTGCAGAAACTATGCTCGGAACCATGCACAAAGGCCAGGAGAAAAGGGACAAGTTCAACAGCCAAGACAAGTCAAGATGTGCACCAGAAGCGCTTCAGGTGTGCTTGCAGGCATGACGCGGCTCATGCCTGTAGCCTCAGTTGAATGTGTACCCTGATGCACCATGCTTGAGCAATGGCAAAGTTGGTCATCGAGTTTTGTGATGCCAGAGCTGCCGAGCTTCGGACTGGGGAAGAGTACGCTTGAGGAGCCAGCAGCACAAGGTCCACCTGCCTCCCCGATCCGATTTGGAACTGCAGACAGTCGGTCATTGGCAACACAGAATCCGAGCGGAGCAAGGGCTCAGGAAGGAGATGGTGTAGTCTCGGCCGAAGATGAAGGCAGCCACATGGGGGCATTCTCCAGCCTGTTGTCTGAACATGCTACGCTTGCAGCTCCTGCAAGGAGTGTTGACGAATCAGGTACGCTGGCGGAGCCTGCAAGACGACACAGCTACCGTCCAGTATATTCGCCAGACATGCGGATGGATGAGGAAGATGTGGAAGAGCATATGAGCACGCCATTCCCTGCCACCACAGGCACTGAAAGTGAGGCATCCGGTCAGCAGCCAGCTGTAGACACAGAACAGCTGCAGGTTGTAATTGCGGACGAGCCCCCGCACTGGCTACAAATGTCCAGCGAAAGCCTTGTGTCTCAGTGGGCACCATTTTCTTCATACATTGGAACAGATACGACGCTCGCCGTCAGACCGCCTCCAATTCCTGAAGAATCCTTGGCCGCTTTGCCAGATGCAAGCCCAGAAGGCTTTCGAGTACTCTCCGTGAAGTATCAGGAGTCCCTGAGTCGCAATACTGTATCTGTGGGTAAATATTTTTTCGTCGACGCCGCGGCTTTCCCTTCTTATGAATTCTCCTCGCACCCATGCCTTGTTGAACAGTGGCGCGGGTCCTTGTTGGTTTGGAGTGGAGCTGTGATCCTGAGTTTGGGTGCATTGGGCGCAGTTGACCTGCCAGAGGCTAAGCTTCCGGCATTTGGCCGCAAGGAGCCTCGCCGAGCATCGCAGGCAGGAGATTTCGAAGTTGACGACGTGATTTTTGTCGTTGGCTTTCACAGGGACTTGGCCGTTTCCGTGGGCAAGCACATGGCCCTTCCAGAGAATCTTTTTGGCTACCAGTGCTACTGTATGGGCAAAAGGCCTACACCACGGCAGGACATTGACACCATGAGAAGTAGCACGAAGTATGTCGATGAGCTGGGAGACTTGGGCAAACACCTTCAGATTACCGTCGAGGTTGACGAGAAGGAACTCATAGCCATTCGCGGCACGACTGAGTCCAGGGCCAGCATGGCTGTCATTCTCGAACCGACTGCCCTTGTCGAAGACACCAACACTGTTGCAGAGCTGGCAAGAGAAAACAGTCTGGTGCTTGCGGGAGTAGAGGTGGCGGAGGAGGGAACCATTCCCCATAATGTACGTTCAAGCACTTCCAGCGAGGCATGGAATGCAAGGCGCCAGGCGTTGCTCAGCGCTAGACCAAGGCACGTGCCAGACCGGGAAGCAACGCTGTAACCAGCCCTCGCAGAACTTTGAACAGTGCCAAGTTGTTTCACTCTGTGGGACCCACGCACCTGCCAGCGATCCACAAAGTGGCCCGCTGACCGTTGCGATGTTAAAAGTGTGCCAAGATGCGGCCGTGCTCTCTAACCTGCCCATGCTGCCATGGACAGCTGATTTGACATGGTCAGGACATGGTAGTGAGACATGTGCAAGTGGACATAGCAGTTGGCTTCAAGCGTGTAGAAGAACTGGACTTTTGCCCTCCCAGCTGTTGCCGGATGGATGATGAACCAGAGGTGACTCAAGAGGGTGACGTGGGGGGCAGCGGTGGTCGAGCTCCACGACCACGTGGTCCTGTCACAGGCGGTTGGGGTTTCGATGACGATGGAGGTGGACCGCGCATGAGTGCAGAGCCTCCGTCACCTCAACGAGGCCATAAGAGCCATTTCGAGGAGGATGACGATGCAGTTCCCACGATTCCAGATCTTGAGGAGGAAGCCGAGGAAGACATCACGCGTCAAGTTGCGGCGCCTCCAATCGCGGCTCCATCGCTGGCCCCTCCAGTGAGAACTGTTCGTGAGCTAGATGGTGCCCTGAACAGCCGTGGCACACAGCTTCCAGCAAGCCCTGAAGAGGGGGTGGACCTTGCACCTTTGATGCAGTGCCTGTGTTCAGATCGACAGGTATTCGAACAGGATAGTACCTGGGACCACGAGCTGATCTTTCAAGAGGTCGCGAGCGCCATCAATCAAGACTTGCTGACGGTGGAGGAGGGTGAAGGGGAAGAAGTTGATACACTGGGACGCTGATAAGCCAATTCAGATGTTCAGATGTATGCTGGACTGAGAGAACCTTGTAAAGCCTTGACTTGCTGCCTGCACCTGCGTGACTCAAGAAAGCTGCAATGAACTGGTGTGTAGTTTCGGGTGCGGAACCATGGAAATGCGCTGCCTGGGTCGTCATTGTCCCGCAGCCATCACGATCAAGGCCTGCTTGCCATATTTTCCGCAAGGAATAAAGTGACTGCGGACGTGTGCAGTAGAGTTAGCAGATCATCCGACGATGAAGCCTGATCACTTTTGAACAGAGCCACGATCGGCAGTACGACATTGGAGTAGAGCATGCTGCTGGCATTGTTGTGGTAAACGGCAAGCCCGAAAGCTAGCCATTACCGCCTTCCCTGTCACTGATGACGTCTTCGCATCGCCGGCAAAGCTACGACAGGGCGCGCCTGTCCTGGGAAGATGTGAAGAGCGGCGAGCGGGTCATCTCGCTAGCTGATGTGGTAGTGATCGATCGTGCGAAGTATGCTGGTAATGTAGGTTGCAACCTTAGCATGAGCGATGTGTCAGATGTTGCAGACACATGACAGGCTGCTTACTTGGACGAGCATGCTCGCGGGTCGTGTGATAGTCCTGAATTTTATTTTGCTTTGGACCTGTGCAATGCTTGGCGGTTCTCGACTTGCGCCACGCTGAGGTTCAATACTGCGACACATGCCGATACTGGGGGGCGCGCAGATCCTGTTCTTGGCAAACAGTGCACATCCACCCTCATCGCCATATCCACCGTATCCGCGCAGTTTCATCAAGGAGGTGATGAGAGTCTCAATGCTGCAACATTATCGGGTGCCGCAGCTGCAAGAATGTATCTGCTGTCATGCATAGCTTTTTGAGTACCAACTCTCTGCATATATAGGCTGGATAGGGCTGATGTGCTCACCCAAGTAGTTGTCTGTGTATATATGCATGCGAGAGTCTGGTTTCTTAATGCTGGGCGGCTCTGAGAATTGTTCTTTGACTCAGACGGATGATGACGGGAATTTGCTGGCTGTCGATATGTATGCGTTTGTGAAATTCGCTAAACATTCATTCCCAGCAGGTTTCCGGCAAGTGTTCACGGCAGATTTGCGGTTGTTTATTGATGGATGAGATGTAGGTGTGTGTGTGTGTGTGTGTGTTCTGGCATGTTCTGGTTTGTGCACGGTGCACAAGCTACTCATCGCAATCGTTAGAAGTAGCCTCCCGCAGGAATTTGAAGGACGGTTTTGTCTGCTGGATGGAGGGCGTGATGAAGTCCTTCATCTGCTGGCGCTGCTAAAGTCCAGAGGCTTTGTATTGATGATCTTGGAGAATGTTGAAGCTTTTGAAGAAAGGCTTCATGGTAGCGAGGCGCAGAACATAGGCAGCCAGTTCGCAGTAGCGTTGTGCAGCAAAGAGCCGTGATTATTTTTTGCCTGAACCCTTTCCAGGAGGTGCCTGAACGAGGGCATGACGCGTGTCGCTCCTTTCATTATTCATCCATTTATGATGAGGCTTCGGTCCTCAGGGACTTGAGATCCCCTATTGCTTACATATTTGGTGGGGAATCTGGTCCGCCGATGCCGGAATTGTTCCAAGCGTGTGATGTGGGAGGCTTCATTCCTAGCTGTGCAGGTAGCGATCCTCACAGCTCTTCGCGGACGCCCGGGCACAAATCACAAAGCCATTGTGGAGCTGGTGATGCTGACCCCTCACAAAGCAGAGAGCAGAACGAGATGGAATGTGAAGCAAGAATGCATTCGTGCAACCTTAGCATCGCAGCCTGCATCGTTCTGAGCGAGCGACATCGGCTGCTTCTGGCCAAGAGGCAGAACGACGTGGTAGGTTGCTGCACGGCACTGGCTGCAGCTGCCGGCTTTGGAATGCAGTTGGCATCCGTTGCCACAGGCAACTCAAGAAAAGGCGAGCTCTTCCAGCCTGCAACTGCACGCATCCCTTTTGGAACCTGGTTGGCTTGACAGATTTGGCACTTGACCAAACATAATGCTTGATCAATCATGTGCATGGCAATTTGGTTGACAATCTTGGTATATTATATATTATTGTAAAAAAAAATCATTTTTTACGCCTTTTTTTATATTATTTTTGATCGTTAATGAGAACCTTCTAAATGTATTTTCAATATTTGAAATCTGCGTTCGGAAAATGGTATTCTTTATTGA